CTATAGAAAACACTTCAAAGCAAATTTTCAAGGGCCCGGGAAGGTGTTCACGCCGTTACAACTTTGTAAATATAAGTTTGGTTTATATAATAATTATATTCTAAGTCATACGTGCAAATAAGTGTTAGTAAGATTTAAAACTGTTAAAGATAATTTCACCACATTAATATAATATTTAAAGATCAGTTTAGATTTATTTATTTTATTTATTTATTCTTTATTGCACCAAATATTTGTACAAAAGGCGAGCTTAATGCTATATGGTATTCTCTACTATTAGATTGTATATACATTGTGAATAATTCCACCAATAGCAATCCAATGCGTTTTCATATGTCGTCATTGTAATAGCCAACGGACATATAATGTGTACCTTTACCTTTCGACCCTCAAACTGTTAGCACATCCTCAAAGATACAATATTAACTCTTGTAATTGTGACAAATTCATATTAAATAAAATTTATGATACTGTTAACATTGACATGACATGACATTAATAGTGGTGCGCAACAATACTCCAATCTATCATTTCTTTGTACAATATCGTACACTGACTCCTCCTGTTGAGGTGTGATTCGATCCATCTCAACAGACTTTCATATATTCCGTAACATGCTAATTTGATACATAAAATATTATGATTCACTTTATCAAATACTTTCGAAAAATCTGTATATATGCTATCAACCTGTTTTCTCTTGGTGAAAGCACTGCAAAGATAATGTTTGTATTCAAGTAAATTAGAAGTCGTCGATCTGTTCTTAATACAGCGATGTTGTCTAAGCGATAGGAAGGGTTGAATATGGTAATAAAGAGAACTTACACCTTTGATTCAAACAATTTACCAAGGAAAAATAAGATGCTAATGAGTCGATAATTTTCGCAATTTGACCTGTCGCCGGATTTATAAATCGGAACTATATGAGCTATTTTTCATACTGATGGAAAAACTAATGGATGCATTGACTAGAATACTTACACAAGGAATTACTTAATTCCTTACCGCATTTCTCAATCAATAAGGGAGGAAGACCATCTGGTCCAGAGCCTTTTTTGGTCTAATTTCGCTATCTTTTACTGTATTTTTTCTTGTGTGATCACGGTATCACTTAAGACACAATTATTACGATTGGATAATTCATTGTGAGAATATAAAATAGGCTCCACTGGGTTTACAAAGACAGAACTGAAATAATCAGAGAAAAGCTCACATATTTCTTTTTCATCGAAAGAGGTGTAATTACCATATTTCATCGTTTTCGGACTGCTATTAGAATTATTTTTCTTATCATTCATTATCTTCGTCATTATCTTATCTAATGAAGATTCAGTAGACGAAAAAAATTTTATAGTCATCACTAATAAGTTTTTTAAATCTGTTGAGTAACATGGAAAATGTATCATAATCGCGAGGATCTTTATATTTTTTGAAACGACGATGATATTTTCATTTTTCTTCTAAGCTTTGCGTTAAAGCAGGTGTAAACCATACTAAATAATTGATTGTGTCAATTTTCGTCATAGGTGTTTGTTTTGTAATAATATTCCTGACCTTCGCATAAAATGCGTCAGTCATGCTACCAATATCTTTATGAATTGACAAGATATTATGCCATTCAACTGATTTTAATTCAAGATTTATTTTTGAAAAATTACTTTTGAAAATATTAGAAATATTACTTTTGTTCTTAAAATTATTTCAGTTTATTTCAACAAAATTAACAACCGCAACTAATGAAGGGTGGTGGTGATCTAAGCGGCTCAATGACTCCACTTCATAAACCTAAATGCTGTTCCAAATGAAAAGAATTAGGTCTAAAAATCATCCGTTGCTATTTGATATACTGTTATTGTTTGCGCCAAATGCTAAATGTTTAAAACTGCATTACGAGCGCTAACGTCCGATGGCAACAGGGATTGCTGTCGGACCTCTCCTCCCCGCGCGCGTTCCCCACTCACGCCCGGTCACCTGATGTGTCGATTAGCGGGACGGTGGGTCGAGACGTCTCGCGCCTCGGGTCAGTCTGAAATCTCCGTCGAACGGCGTGGCGCGGCGGAAGTCAAAAAAAAGCAGTGCGGTCTAGCACGACGTGGTCGTCCGGTATAACCTCCCTTTTTAGTGTCGGTTTGTTAGCAAATTTATGCAACGACGAGGTTTTTGTTGAGTCTCGAAAAATAGACGCCGTTTGGTTATCCTAGTGCGTTCACGCGACAACGAAGCAGTAATAATTTGGTTGATTAACCTAAATTCGTTGGCATGTAATTTACGTAATTGCATAGTGATTGCCGGTTGAAGTGCTTGACAATAATAATTCGCGTCAACGAGTTGCTTTGTGCCATTTGATTTAACTCGGAGATATTTTCCTGTGTCGATTAAAACCGCTAAACTTTGTGACCCGCGAGAAGCGTTCGTATTAGATTATAGATTTGTGCTAATGGACACTAGACTTTGAGTGACACCGAGTGACGCCGCTGAAGTGATACCACATAGGGTGGCGGTGCTGGAGTCAGGGTCACTGTTGATTAAAAAGGGCTAATTCAGGTTACACCTACATACACTTCTCACACACTACTTACATTCACGACAATTAACACCTGAACGAGCCTTGGGACAGTCTTCGCCTCAGAATCAGGTAAGTCGCATTAAGTACCTAGTCCATATGTATTAAATATCCATAAGCATTTGAGCCCCACACTTAGTTGTCCGTCGAATCTAACAGCTGTATGGGCCCCTGTATCGTAGACCTTAGTCTGGGCAACTAGGTGCGTGTAGATTCTTGGTAGTAAGAGCGTGGTTAATTGGTTCTCCAATCCCCCGGCCGTAATATAGATAAAAATAGTACGTAATAAAAATAACATATAAATATTTTTTTTTTGTTTTGTTAGCGGGTAGAATTGGAAACACGCCCGTAGTTTGTTAGGGCTAGGTACGCGTCGTAGTTTGTTAGGGCTAGGTACGCGTCAGGTATTTTAACTAGGTAGATAAGGTTATCACGTAATCGGATAATTATCGTTGGCGTATAATTATAGTAGATTAATTGTCGAAGGGTCGGTCGCTTCAGCGAGAATCGGTCGCTTCAGCGAGGCATCTTTTCGGACCGACTGTGGTGTGTACTTGCCGTGTAGTGTAATTTGTATTTAATTTAATAAATAGTAATTTGTATTTAACTTGATTTGATCGTACTTGTATTTGTTATTTGTTAATTTGATTTATATTTGAGCCGCGTATTAATTTGTATTTAGTAGTGATGCCATCGCACAAGCTACTGATTCGTTGCCTGAGGGCGGAGCTGCGCTGGGCTACTAGCGCCCATGCTTTGATAGGTCGACCGGATAGGGTCTATAACTTGAGGAAGCGGCTCGAGCAGGTCGATGCTCGAAGGGCCGCAGTGGAGGAGGAGTACGCTGAGCTCGAGGATTCGGATGTGGAAAAGGGAGTCCTGGACTCCTGCCTCGCGGACTACGAGCAGTTTTTTTCGCTCACAGACGGGTTGATCGAGGCTGGGGCCATGTATGCTGAGGAGGCGCGTGAAGCTCGGATGAGTGGCCTGCCCGAGTCCCCTTGGAAGCAGCCTACTCAGCCGGAGCTGTTGGGACGACTCCCAACTCTGGACCTGCCAAGGTTTTACGGTGTCCTCTCCGACTGGATGACTTTTGTAGGGCTTTTTGATAGCCTAGTGGACGCCCGGAGGAACCTGACGCCAAGCCAGAAAATGGCGTACCTCCTAGCCTCACTGGAGGGGGAGGCCCTGGGCGTCGTCGGCCATTTGAAATTGTCGGACGACGCCTACCAGGCTGCTCAGGACCTCCTTGTCGGAAGATACGCCAACGTCCGGCGAATTGCGGACGAATACGTCAGGCAGCTGCTAAGCCTCCCACCGCTTAGGAACCGGGCCAGGCTACGTCCGGACCTCTTGAATCCAGTCTTGGTGGCCTGTAATGCGTTGAGGCGGCTGAATTTGTCGGTGGATGAATGGTCCTTCTTGTTGCTCCACATCGTGCTGTCCCGCCTACCTCTCAACCTTAGGATACATTTTGAGGAGAGGTATGGCGGGGACGGCGCCTCCGATATTCCACCCTTTAGTGATCTGCTGCGGTTCTTGGAGGAGCAGTGCCGGCAGATTGAGAACGCGGCGGGCACCGTTGACGACTTACGAGCCGTACCCAGTGAGAGGCGGGATCCGCCGGGCAAGTCGTCGTCAACCCCCCTAAAGCCGATCGGAGCTCCCGCGGGAGGGCGCCGCTCCTTACCATCTTACAGTGGCCTAGTGGCCAGGGAGGCGCCCCCCTGTTATTGTTGCCGAGCCTCCGATCACCGGGTGACGTCGTGCCCGAAGTTATTGGGTAGGCCGGTTCCGGCTAGGCGAACTATCGCCAAGGAGCGCTGCTGGTGCTACTCTTGTTTGGAAGGGCACCTCCAGCGAGACTGCCCGCACCAGCGGCCCTGTCCGCATTGCCAGGGCAAGCACCATGCCGTTTTGTGCCTGGTTGCGAATTGGCATTATATGCGAAAAAATCGCAAACTGCGAAGCTGTGGTTGGGTCGCTAATAATAACAGATCTGTAACTATGGCGTCACTAACTAGGTACTTAATTATCTAGATCTACCTATAAATAATAATATCTTACCTTTCGGCATCGTTAGGAACAGTAAAGAATGAAAAGTCGACATTCGTATTGTTATTTAAGGCTTGCCTTTTGACTTTTTGAGAGGCCATACTTCAATAAATACTCAAAAATAAATATCAAGTGCTTAAATACTTATAAGAGAAAAATACTTTTTTGCTAACGTAAGGCGCGCGTCACCTCGAGCGCGTGACAACCTCACGGAATTATCCCCTTATAGGTGGCCGCGCTGCGTAGGTATATTTTCATGCCTAAAGCGCGAAGTGAGACAAGCCTGATATTGTCTAAATGTAATATTAAAAAAACTTCATACCATATTCTGCTATCTTTAGGGGTGAAATTTTTAGAAAAGTAAAATTAAAAAAGCCGTTACCGGAGCCCATAAAGATGCTGAGAGTGTATCTGATGCAACTGAGTGAGGCGGCGATATATCTCCCCGTGATGACAATTGTTCCTGGAAAAGACACATTTGTTTTAAATGAAACTGATGAATTGTATAGATTATATAGAGTGCCAGTATAATTAGTGGATAGATTTCACTAGACGTTACTTCCATCCGAATATAGATCGAAGTTACCCTCAAGTCGCACTTTAAGCAATTTTAATTCAAGACTAATTACTTAGAAGTGCGGAATAATAAACACCTGCAAGATTGCATTCCTCTTCCTCTCAGTGTCAAGCGTAGCCTTTTCAGTCTCGAGTTGATGCTCCACCTCCGTGAGTCGTTGCTGTAAATCCGATATTTGGGTCTCAGTTTCCGATCTGAGTTGCTCTAACTCTTCGTTTTTGCTGCAAATAATCACACAGATATTACAAGCTTAGAAAATTTGCTTAAAAGACAAAACAAGTCAGATTATAAATTAAATAAGTGTGAGAATTAGTGCTTTACAATTTCCATCGAATTAAGCATGAAATTCTGGCAAGTAACATGAATCGCAAGTATAAATATAAAAATTTACAGTTTCTGTAATATATACATATATTACATAAGTGAAGAAAAAACTTTGAACCCCTTTCTAAGCACATTTGGCAAGTGTTACATTTGGCATAAAGTTTACTCGTATATGGAGAACGAGTGCAGAAAGCTAAAATGTATATACAAGGTGAAGAAGACAAATACATTAAATTAAATAAACTAAAACATAATAGGTGGGTAATAGGGGGTAAAGTTTATTCGTATTTTGTTTGTATAAAATTGAAGAAAAATCTCTTTGGTTGTACAGTTTGTATCTGGTTGGTTTTAATATCAATACATATAGGACATTAAGAAAAATAAAAAGTAAAAAACACTTCCCCGCCATTTTCCTATTGTTTTCCGTCCGACAAAATGAGTGGACCTGACGAAAAAATTGGATACATTTTGAAGTTTTATTACAAATAACCGGCAAAGTGCGAGTCTGACTCGCGCATGAAGGGTTATACACAAGGGAAAGGTACACGTGGGCCCCTTTTAATTTTTAATTTTTTTAATTTTTATTATTTGTTTTATAGCGGCAACAGAAATACATATTCTTTGTAAATTTCAACTGTCTACCTACTACGGATCATGAGATACAGCCCGTTGACAGACAGACGGACGTACGTGTTCGGGCGGGGGGAGGAGGCCTCAGTTCCCTAAAAAAAAATTTTATCTCGAACGGTTCGCGGTCTACGCCAGGTTTTATAAAATTCCGAAAATTCGTACTTCTGCTCACATTTGTGGTCATCACGTCCGCAGTTTAATGCCTAGATCGGATTTTTTTCTTTTAATGTGTCCGCAGTTTAATGCCTAGATCGCATTTTTTTGATCCAAAATCCCAAGATTTCTACAGCAACGGGATTAAGTCATTACCTACAAGATGACAACAAGTTATCATGAATGATAAAAAAAGTCTTGAATTTGTATATAAAATACGAAGAAACTTTTTCCCCGACCTTATACAATGTTTACGTTTATATCGTCCAACAAATAAATGTCGCTTGGACAAATTATGTCATTTGTTGACGTTTATACTGCCAATGTGTCAGAGAAGTACCAAATAATATATCGTAATCACTACGTTTTAGGCACAAAAAGGCAAAAAAAAATTTTTATATTGTGTTCATTAGAAATATGTGCATTTTATATTTTGTATATTACATTTATATATAATATACAAACCTAAGAACTTTATGAATTACGGTCGAATTTCGACCACTAGGCATGAATAAGTGGATAGGATAGGCTGTAATGAATAACACTACCACCGTAGGTCTCTAGTTCTACCTAGAAGTTCGTCTGGGTTGTTACCACCCTCTTACCTATTTTTGCACTGCAGTATTCTAGTCTAAAGGATGTAGAGTACCAGTATAGTAAATTAGGAGGCTGTGAGACATTGCATCTTAGTCCTCAGAGGTATTCATGCATCAGTGGACCATTTTGTTTGTAGTTGTCTGCAGGTGTCCATGGGCTACAGTGGCAACTCACGATCAGATGGTGAGTAAATTCGTTTGTCACTTGCATTTGTTATTAATGTATATACACCTAATTCAGCCAAGAACTTTTTGAATAAATGGCAGTTGCAAATGTAAAACGGTGCGAGTCCATAAAGAAGGGAAAAAATGGCAAAAGTACAACCGTGCGAGTCTATAAAGAAAGAAAAAAATGGCAAAAGTACAACCGTGCGAGTCCATAAAGAAAGAAAAAAATGGCAAAAGTACAACCGTGCGAGTCTATAAAGAAAGAAAAAAATGGCAAAAGTACAACCGTGCGAGTCTATAAAGAAAGAAAAAAATGGCAAAAGTACAACCGTGCGAGTCTATAAAGAAAGAAAAAAATGGCAAAAGTACAACCGTGCGAGTCTATAAGAAAGAAAAAAATGGCAAAAGTACAACCGTGCGAGTCCATAACGAAAGAAAAAAAAATGGTGAAATGTGACAACAGACCGTGCGAGCTCTAGCTCCAGCTGCTGCTGCTGGAGAGTGAGGCGCTGGCAGTGCGCGGCCAGCGCGTCGTGCTCTGACCTCACCTCGCTCTGCAACAAGAACCACTGCTCAAACCTGACTACGTCTCTAATGGAAAAATACTTAAACGTTGATCACTTTTAAGATGCCGTTAAGTCTCGTGCTGTCTCTATCACTTTAAGTGAATGTGACAATCACTTAAAGTTAATAAATAAATTGAGTAACGTATGCGTATTTGACCATAAGTGTCTTAAACACGATACGTCTTGCTGTACATCCAATGTCAAGTAAAACGAGCAGGCTAGTACATCATAATCGTTATTATTATTAACGTAACATTTATTGATGTTTACACTAATTACAGATTACATTGGATTAGATTATTTATATTAGATTAGATTATTCATAAATTATTATATAGTCGTTGGGTTTATATATAAGTATTATGTCATGTAATACAGTTAACCGGACATTAACTCTGACATTCGATATAATATGTAGGTAAAGGACCGTATACTTCCGAGCGCGCGGTTAGTACCGAACTTAGCAAGTACCTACTGCGCGTTCGCTCTGTCGAATTATGACGTCACGTCACAGAGAACGAGCGGGTAAAAATTTAAAAAAAATTCGAAACAAAACGTTATAACTTTCGTATTTCTGCACCAATTTGGATGAAACAAAAGCTACTGTTATTTTCATAAACAGCTTTAAAGCTATATAGGTTTTATTGTCAAATTAGCACGTGTTGGTGTGTGACCCATTGTACGTTGCATTGTATGCTTGTACATAATTTAATGCCGTGTAGTGGCGGTTAAGAATATCCACTACCCCATATCTTCCCGTGGGTGTCGTAAAAGGCGACAAAGGGATACAAGCAGGAGATGGGCAGCAGCATCTTCCTGGTAACGGCAAAAATACAATAAAAAAGCTGCGGTTGCCAACCCGCTCGCCAAGCGTGGCAACTATGGCAATATACCCCCCATGATGAAAGTTACGAAGAGACGGCCCTCAGTCCCCGGCGGCCCCGCTATTCCTGGCAACAGTGGCGACCATGGTAACGGCGGGGCAGGGGGTGCTAAGAATATCCGGTGGAGGTTCGATTGCCACCTACGACGACTCGACCTGGCAACATACAACGCACGCACCCTGAGGACTGACGAGAAAATTGTGGAGCTGGAAGAAGAGATAGACAAGTTACGCTGGCATATTATAGGATTATCCGAAGTCCGAAGAGAGGGGGAGGACACGGTAATCCTTGAATCCGGCAACTTGCTCTATTACCGGGAGGGCGACCATCTGTCCCAAGGAGGTGTCGGATTTATCGTCCACAAGTCTCTCGTTAACCACGTTGTAAAGATTGAGAGTGTGTCGACGAGGGTTGCGTACCTTATACTCAGAATCACCAAACGGTATTCGCTGAAGGTCATACAGGTTTACGCACCAACCTCGGCACACCCCGATCAGGAGGTGGAGGAAATGTATGAGGATATCTCTAGAGCCATGCATTCCTCCAAAACCCAATATACGGTGTTAATGGGAGACTTTAATGCAAAACTAGGCACAAGAGAGAACGGTGAGCTGAAAGTGGGAAAATTTGGAATAGGGCAACGGAACCCAAGGGGCCAGCAGCTGGCCGACTTCATGGAGAAAGAGGGACTCTTTATGATGAACTCTTTCTTCCAGAAGCGGCCCCACAGGAAGTGGACCTGGTCGAGCCCCGACGGTTCGACAAAAAATGAGATTGACTTCATTATGACGACCAGACGACAACTGTTCAGTGATGTCTCAGTGATCGCGAGGGTGAAAATTGGCAGAGATCACCTAATGGTGATAGGCACACTGAACCTAAACGTTAAGTTGGAGAGGTCACGTCTAATGAAATCAACGCTCCGTCCCCCTCGTGCTCTAACCCAAAGTCCCGAAACCTTTCAGCACGAGTTACAAAACCGTTTTCAGTGCCTAAAAGACTGCAATGAAGTGGACGATTTGAATGACAAGCTCGTGGAAACTGTCCATGCGGTCGGAGCTAAGTTCTGCAAGACCCGCCGCAGAAGAACACAAAAACTCTCCGATCACACTCCTAATCTCATGGCTGTTAGACGGGATATGAAGCTACATTCTTCAACAGATTTGACAGCATACAGGCAACTGAACAGACAGATCTCCAAGTGCATGCGGCGGGACTTACGCAACTTCAATACAGCTCGTATTGAAGAAGCGATCGAGCAGAACCAAGGCTCCAAAGTCTTTGCCAGAGATCTGTCTGCCAGAAAGAGCCAACTATCAAAGCGGAAGACCGAATGTGGCAGCATCGTTTCCGGGGCACCTGAGATTTTGAGTGAGATTGAAAGGTTCTATGGGCAGCTGTACACGTCATCGTTGGAGCCGCACGCAAGTGTGAGTAACGATCCAAGAGCGAGTCTTATTCGACATTATTCCGATGATATCCCGGACGTCAGTTTGAGCGAGATTAGAATGGCTCTCCAGCACCTTAAAAACGGCAAGGCCCCAGGCGAGGATGGAATTACAGCGGAGCTTCTGAAAGCGGGTGGAAAACCGGTACTTGAAGTCCTTCAGAAACTCTTTAATTCCGTCCTCCATGGTGGCATTACACCGGAGGCGTGGAGCAGAAGTGCGGTGGTCTTGATCTTCAAGAAAGGCGACAACGCTCTCTTGAAGAACTACAGACCGATTTCCCTTCTGAGCCGCGTCTACGTGCTGTTTTCGAGAGTCATTACGAATCGTCTCGCGCGCAGACTTGACGACTTCCAGCCTCCCGAACAAGCCGGTTTCCGAAAAGGCTTTAGCACCATAGACCACATACATACCCTTCGGCAAATGGTACAGAAGTCCGAGGAGTACAATTTGCCACTATGTCTGGCGTATGTGGACTATGAGAAAGCCTTTGATTCCGTCGAAATTTGGGCGGTGCTGCAGTCCCTTCAGCGATGCCAAGTTGACTGTCGGTATATCGAAGTGTTGAAGTGCTTGTACAGTAGGGCTACGATGGCTATCCGAGTACAGAACCAGAGTACGAAACCTATCCAATTGCAGAGAGGTGTAACACAGGGTGACGTCAAATCCCCGAAACTCTTCACCGCTGCATTGGAAGATGTTTTCAAGCTTCTGGACTGGAAAGGATACGGTATTAACATCAATGGCGAGTACATCACTCACCTTCGATTTGCCGACGATATTGTCCTTATGGCAGAATCGCTGGAGGACCTAAGCACTATGCTCAATGACCTCAATAGTGTTTCCCAACGGATAGGTCTTAAGATGAACATGGACAAAACAAAGATCATGTTTAATGTCCATGTCACACCTATGCCGGTAGTTGTTGGGAACACTAAGCTCGAAGTTGTTGACGAGTATGTTTACCTGGGACAAATAGTCCGACTAGGTAAATCCAACTTCGACCAAGAGGTCAATCGACGGATTCAACTCGGTTGGGCAGCGTTCGGGAAATTACGGCACATCTTCTCGTCAGGTATACCTCAAAACTTGAAAACGAGACTGTACACCCAGTGCGTGTTGCTAGTGATGACATACGGAACTGAGACGTGGTCCCTCACTGCTGGCCGGATGAGGAAGCTCAAGGTCGCTCAGCCAGCTATGGAGAGGGCTATGCTCGGAGTTTCTCTGCGTGATAAACTCAGAAATGAGAATATCCGCAGTAGAACCAGAGTGACCGACATAGCCCAACGGATTAGTAAGCTGAAGTGGCAATGGGCGGGCCATATAGCTCGAAGAACCGACAACCGATGGGGAAGAAAGGTTGTCGAGTGGCAGCCTCGTACCGGCAGGCAAAGTGTAGGGCGTCCCCTCACTAGATGGAGTGACGACCTGGTAAGATATGCAGGAAGTCGATGGATGCAGGTGGCTCAGGACCGTGCTTTGTGGCATTCTTTGGGGGAGGCCTATGTTCAGCAGTGCACTTGTGAAGGGCTGTAATGATGATGATGACATAATTTAATTTTTGCATGCCAGCTACGCCAAACATGTTCACATTATTCAACATCTTATGTACCATGTTTTTATGTAAATAATTTATCTATCACCCACGGTGAGTGCTTAGAACACGAATGCAGCGTAGAGTGCGCGTGTGCGTTAGTGCGTGTATCTATCTATACGTGTAGACATGAGCATGCGAACACGCGCGCGCGCTATTGTGTGTGTATGGCCATGTGTATGTGCGCACACGTGTGTATGTGTATATGTGTATGTGTATGTGTACGTGTGTGTAGGTGTACGTGTGGGGGTGCGGATGCGTGCGTGCGTGTGTGTGTGCGTGCGTGCGTGCGTGCGCGCGCGCGCGCGCGTGTGTGTGTATGTGTGTGTGTGTGTGTGTGTGTGTGTGTGTGTGTGTGTGTGTGTGTGTGTGTACATTTGCGAGTGTGCGTGTGGGGGTACCTGCAACGCGTCGGCGAGCGCGAGGCGGTCGCGCAGCGCGTCGCTCTCGTCCCGCGCGAGCCGCTCGCGCTCTGCCGCCTTCGCTGCGCACGTCTCCGCCTCCGCTGCACAACACAAATCAAACTCAAGTCAAACTTATAGTTAAAGTCAAACTCAAGTCAACTCAAACTCCAAGTCAAATTCACTCAAATATCTAAAAACATCGCTGTTGCGCTTGCAGTACATCATAAAATTATATAATATAAAACTTTTTTGTTAGGTAAATAAGAATTTATTTGAATACTTTTAAATCAATGTAATACTAGATCAAGACACCGTCAAATAATATGTCAAAAAATTATTTATGTTTAGTGTGTGGCGTGTATATTTATAGATATGAGGCAGTAAAGGTTCGTAGCAAGCAGTTGAGTTTAATTTTCGCCTACATCACAACATAAGTCAAAGCATAACTTAAGTCAAAGTCAAACTCCCTCAAATCAAAGTCAAACTCAAGTCAACTCAAAGTCCAAGTCAAACCCACTGAAGTAAAAGTCAAATTCAAATCAGTCAAACTCAAGTCAAACCTAAGTCAAAGTCAACTTTAGTTAAAGTTAAAATTAGAATCATTTTTTGTACCTCTATCTGATGATAAATAATAGTTGTAGCTTATTGATACCGCAAGCAACCAAAGGTTACAAACGCGTTGTCACCTCTGAAAACTAAGATGGAATACCTCACAGTTTATAATTATGCTGACACTTCGCCGCCCCCGCCCCCGCGGCGCGCCACTCACCCAGCCGGCGTGCGAGCGCGGCGGCTGCAGCGCTGTGCGCGCGCTCGCGCTCGAGCGCCGAGCGCTGCAGCGCGGCCAGCTGCGCCAGCAGCGCGGCGGCGGCGCCGTCCCCGCAGCGCGCGCACTCCGCCGCCCGCCGCCCGCCGCCCCCCGCCACTCACCCAGCCGGCGTGCGAGCGCGGCGGCTGCAGCGCTGTGCGCGCGCTCGCGCTCGAGCGCCGAGCGCTGCAGCGCGGCCAGCTGCGCCAGCAGCGCGGCGGCGGCGCCGTCCCCGCAGCGCGCGCACTCCGCCGCCCGCCGCCCGCCGCCCCCCGCCACTCACCCAGCCGGCGTGCGAGCGCGGCGGCTGCAGCGCTGTGCGCGCGCTCGCGCTCGAGCGCCGAGCGCTGCAGCGCGGCCAGCTGCGCCAGCAGCGCGGCGGCGGCGCCGTCCCCGCAGCGCGCGCACTCCGCCGCCCGCCGCCCGCCGCCCCCCGCCCCCCGCCACTCACCCAGCCGGCGTGCGAGCGCGGCGGCTGCAGCGCTGTGCGCGCGCTCGCGCTCGAGCGCCGAGCGCTGCAGCGCGGCCAGCTGCGCCAGCAGCGCGGCGGCGGCGCCGTCCCCGCAGCGCGCGCACTCCGCCGCCCGCCGCCCGCCGCCCCCCGCCACTCACCCAGCCGGCGTGCGAGCGCGGCGGCTGCAGCGCTGTGCGCGCGCTCGCGCTCGAGCGCCGAGCGCTGCAGCGCGGCCAGCTGCGCCAGCAGCGCGGCGGCGGCGCCGTCCCCGCAGCGCGCGCACTCCGCCGCCCGCCGCCCGCCGCCCCCCGCCACTCACCCAGCCGGCGTGCGAGCGCGGCGGCTGCAGCGCTGTGCGCGCGCTCGCGCTCGAGCGCCGAGCGCTGCAGCGCGGCCAGCTGCGCCAGCAGCGCGGCGGCGGCGCCGTCCCCGCAGCGCGCGCACTCCGCCGCCCGCCGCCCGCCGCCCCCCGCCACTCACCCAGCCGGCGTGCGAGCGCGGCGGCTGCAGCGCTGTGCGCGCGCTCGCGCTCGAGCGCCGAGCGCTGCAGCGCGGCCAGCTGCGCCAGCAGCGCGGCGGCGGCGCCGTCCCCGCAGCGCGCGCACTCCGCCGCCCGCCGCCCGCCGCCCCCCGCCACTCACCCAGCCGGCGTGCGAGCGCGGCGGCTGCAGCGCTGTGCGCGCGCTCGCGCTCGAGCGCCGAGCGCTGCAGCGCGGCCAGCTGCGCCAGCAGCGCGGCGGCGGCGCCGTCCCCGCAGCGCGCACACTCCGCCACCTCGCCACCTTCGGCGCCCCGCACCTCGCACGCCTCTCTCGCCTCAGCCAGCTCGCGCCGCAGCGCCTCCTCGCGCGAAATCCAGCGCTGCTCCTCTAGACACGGTCATTTCACTTTGTTATTTATTATGTAAGTGACAATATGAGTCGTCTTACCTGTACTATGTTGCATGCCTTTGCATTTTCAATCGCATCTACTATTTAGAGTGCTCAGAAGAATTGTTCGGATTAATACCAGGCGCCAAATTTCACCAACGCACATCGAAACAAAACTCACGTTACTATCCAGATTATCTGGATGCTTCGCGATCCCCTAATGTGCTATTTACTAGGAGTTTTCTTCCTCACTTCTTTGTGGAATTGTTTACCACTAGCGATTTTGCCAGACCGATACAATTAGGCACCTTACAATCAGGTAAGCCGCATGCTCGTTTACCGCTCTTATATAAAAAAATACTAACTCTATCTGTACAACACGTAACGAAAATCCTGTGATTCCCGTTAATTGCGTTATCAGAGTCAGTATTCAAATGCATAGAAATAAATTTACTTCAGAAAACTCTTTTAACCAGAATCAACTTTTATGCTTGACGTTGTTTCAATTATATATTGTTAGGCACCTTACAGTAGTGTTTGCATGATTCAAATTCACCGTTACATTTTTAATTATTTGTTTATTTAAATTTTCACTTTTACAGTTGCATAAATTATATGAATCATAAATCAATCAAGTAATTTTTTCTTATAATTTTTGTAAATCCCCTGTGGTAAACTTGTAAGTACGTTTAGAAGATGAAGGCTTGTACAATGGTAGTATAGTTATTGAGAACCTTTTAAAAGGGAATTGGCTTGTAATACAAAAAAAAAATTATAATGGGGTGAAGAGGTCTGGTTATGAAAGGATATTAGGAACGTTTGGCGATGAAAGAATAAATGAGAATGGTGAAGACCTCCTCACCGTATGTGTGGAAAAGAATCTTTTTGTGGCGAACACTTTCTTTCGCCATAAGAGGATTCACATGTATACATGGGAAAGAGGGGATGATAGAAGCATGATAGATTTTATAATTGTGGATGAAAGAATGAGGAGCGCAGTGGTAGATACAAGGGTTTACCGGGGATCCAACCTAGGGACGGATCATTACTTGGTATTATGCCGAATTAATGGTCTATTCAAACGTTGGCGGCATCGGACATCTGTGTCTACCACTGCGTTACAGCGTATAAGAATAGAGAGGTTACAAGATGATAGTGTGAAAGAGAAGTATAAATGCAGACTGAAGGAAAATATAGGTGGGTTGAATGAATTATGTATGAATGATTTACAATTGAAGAATGTATGGAATAATATTAAGAAAGTTTTGGTGGATGCAGCCACCGAAGTATGTGGTGTAAGTAAGAGAACGAATGAAAGGAAAAGTAATACGTTGTCGTGGGATGATGAGGTACGGATGGAAGTTGAAGCAAAGAAGAGAGCATGGCTAGATTTACTAGCAACTAAAGCTGGTAATTCTGGCGGTATGAATGATGAGATTGAAAGAAAAAAGGCAGACTTTAGACGTATAAATAAGAGAGTAAAAGAAGTTGTTGAAAGGAAAAAGCAAGAAAGGATAGATAAAAATGATAGAAGGATATCTGATAACTTCCAGGAAAATAAAATGTTCTGGAAGCTCGTAAGAACTGCCAGGGGAAATTCAAAACAGCCTAGAATTAATGCTATACGAGACGAGAATGGCTGCATGTTGAATGATGAAGTTTCGAATTTAAAGAGATGGAAGGAATACTTTGAAAGCGTGTTTAAAAGTGAAGAGTCGTCTGAAATAAGTGAAATAGAAATTCCGGAAGAAGTGGAGAGAGGTAGGGAGATAAGTGTAGATGAAATAATGAAAGCAATGAAAAGCATGGAAGCAGGTAAGGCAGCCGGATATGATAGAGTATCACTCGAAATGCTAAGGGCTGGTGAGGGTGTGGTTGCAGGCCTGCTGTACACCTTATTTAATTTGTGTTGGGAACTGAAGCGGGTACCGGAAGACTGGTGCAAAGCCGTAATAGTCCCAATATATAAGGGAAAGGGTGTAGTGTTATGCTACTTACATATCATTTTACACTATTTTAAATTCATTTTTCCATTGTGTTTTGATTTTCTGCATTCACCTCAAAACTGGATATTTTGTATCACCTTTATTTCCATAGGATCCTGTAACGTTTTTAAACCATAAGAACACAATAACAAATCATTTTCACTTCGTATTTTCACGCTATCAGCATTTTTTAATTTGGTGTCGATGGAGTCTACCTTTTTCGATCTTTTATTTAGTTCTCCGTAACTCTGCAATTTCGGGCTTCGTGCGCGCTGTTGCGCTACCTTTTTTCCTATATCAATAATATCTCATTTTTCACTTAAATCTGGCCGTTTCTCTATTACGAGCCTGAAACCAAAATTTGACATGTTTTGACATCGTTGTTTATCTGGTTGTCATGGCAATTTTTATTCAAATTCGTTACCGGTCTGTTGTTTCTACTTCAATATTTCCACATAAATACTCTTTTCCTCTTGGCCATTTAGAAAAAAATTGCTTTTAATTTAAATAATTTTCCGTTCTCTCTAAAAAGGTATAAAAGCCGAACAATCGACCAATAAACAAGTCTCGCTTCGGTTCTCAAACTCGAAGCATCTCCTAAAGGCCTTATCCCGGGGCCGCACTGCCCCGGGATCCTGCAAGCCTCTGTCCTGCCTGAAGTCGCCGGGACCCTGCAAGCCTCTGCCCTACCTGAAGTCGCCGGATCCTGCAAGCCTCTGTCCTGCCTGAAGTCGCCAGATCCTGCAAGCCTCTCTCCTGCCTGAAGTCGCCGGATCCTGCAAGACTCTGTCCTGCCTGAAGTCGCCGGATCCTACAAGCCTCTGTCCTGCCTGAAGTCGCCGGATCCTGCAGGCCTCTGTCCTGCCTGGAGTCGTTGGGATCCTGCAAGCCTCTGTCTTGCCTGAAGTCGCCGGATCTTGCAAACCTCTGCATTCACCTGAAGTCGTCGCCTAGACACGCCCACGCCTTCACCTACGCTGTGCGTGCTCGCTCCAGGCGCTGCGAGCGCTTATTCCAGGCGCTGTGGGCCTACCACCAGCACAGCCTGTGTACAAAAGCGGTGTACCACTTGGATCTTCGGCCTCAGCTCCAATACTCATCATTTTTATTATCTTTTTTTTTAGAAATAATTGTAAATCACGTCACCCATCTTCATCCTCATACATCATTTTTTTTATATAAATCTGTAAACATCTTTTTTTATATTTTAAATAGATTATTTGTTTTGCCCTATTTTTGTTGTTTTGTTGTTGCTAGGTTAGGTTCTTTTTTTGTTTTTAATTGTCGCTTCACGACAAGGGGTCGCAGCAGGACTGTAAAAACTACCGTGGTATCAGCTTGCTTAGCATTGTGGGTAAACTGTACGCTAAGGTGTTAATTGAAAGAGTTATGGAAGAAACTGATGGAAAAATTTGGGATGTGCAAGCTGGATTTAGAAAGGGGATGGGGTGTACGGATCAAGTCTTTTCCATGCGCATGATAGCGGA